TTGTGGACCTCTTAGAAAGTTAAGTTTTGTAATCCCGGCGGAAAAACCGCAACTTTTTTTTGGCGATGCAATCTAATGTAAATATAGGGCTGGGACTATCCGCATATTCGAATATCCGGATATCCATGCGGATTATCAATTTACACGGATAAAATCCGGAAGTATGGATATCCGGATAATATTCGTTTGTGCAATTATTCGGATATCCGGATTTTTTGTTTATTTTTACGAAACGATATTTTTATTTCCAAATACCAGGCGCTCATACACATGAAGTAGCACGTTTCTATGCGCATAAATTTGTTTGTAGAGCTTTTTAATTCGTTTGTAAGAGCTTTTGAAATACACAAATAGAATTTTGGAAGTTTAAAAATTTATACAAACAGTTTTGTTCGTAGAAATGGAAAACTTGGTACTTCACATGGTTGAGCGCTTGGTATTGGGAAATGCAAATATGGTTTTGATCTAATAAAACTGGTAAATAAAAAAGAGTGAACGCAGGAAAATGTCACATTTAACCGAACGAAAAATCCGGACAGTCGGATATCCGAATATTATCCTAACTTCCGGACTATCCGGATTTTTCGTTCAAGTCTCCGCATATTCGAATATTCGGTTTATCTGGATAATTGAATAATCCGGATGAAATTCCCAGCCCTATGTACATATGTATGTAGGTATGTACATACACTGGCGAGTGCATGTACGATATTTTATTTCTTACAGTAACATAACTTTTTTAATAATAGGCGGATTGCTTTGAAATTATCAGCAATTGGTCCTTATTATTTAAGGAATAAAACCTAGTATACAGAAAAACTAAACTTAAAAAGGAAACAAGCGATTCACAGACTCTCTTGTTTTTAATAGCGATTTTCATACTGTCTACTGAGTTTTCTATGATTTCGCTGGGAAGATTTCCCCATTATAATTTTTACTCGCCTCCAAAGCTCTTCCATGTTACTCGGAGCTCGCTTGTGCTATGCTAATCACATGCTTGATCACAGCGCTCAATTTTTCGATGGCGTTGAGGTCTCAGATTTGTGCTGGCCACTGCATTACGTGAAAATTTTGCTGAAGCAGCCGACGGTGTCGAATATTTCAGAATTTCAGATATGCCAAAATGCCGCTCTACGAACCGCGACAGGGTGTCTCCTTATGTCCTCCGAACAACACTTACACGACGAGACTACAATGCTCCGGGTAAGGGATCACAATATGTTGCTGTCAAAACAGTTCCTGCTAGGCTGTCACAGAACAACTCACCCTAACTACAGCCTGACACAGAGAACTGCACCACCAAGACACATAAGGAGACACCTCAGTCACATAGAAGCAGACATCGACCAACAACTTCACTTGCCACTGAGCCGCGAGGCATACCTTGAGGGAA